TTTTAACTGCCGGGCAAAAATATTACAAACAAGAAATGGTTATTCGATGGTGATGTATTTGGTGGTGGTGTTATGATAACGTTTGTAATTTTTTGGCTAAATCCATCTTTCAAGTGTTTGCTTTTTCCCGGCAGTTTATGTGTAAGGCTTCTGAGCGTGTGGAATGGTCAGTTCAATTCCTGAAAACAAGTGGACCCCCATGTTTATGCATTGGACACACACAAAATATTAAGGAGTGTCTCCTGGACGCAAAAAAATGGATAGACTCAGGTAAAACTAGTATACATGTATATAGTATCTAAAGAGTGCTGTGCATGATGCAGCGCGCCGTTGCATGCTTCATAAGCAAGCTGACGCCCAACGAGGATAGTTCCTGTGTCGATTTCAAAGCGAAACAGATATCAGAGAGACCCGCCCTTTCACAAGTCATTTATTAATGCATGGATTCAACAAGCTCTTATTAACAACGTGGGTGACCATATACCATATCGGTATGTGGCTTTGGACATGTATAGGGAAATATAAGTATATATAAGTGTAAGTAAAAAAGCGGTTAAAAATAAATTACCACTTCATTCGTATTTGGAATGCTTCTCTTACTTTAGAGCATGTGAAACTATTTCTTTTCATAAAATAAATGTTTCTCTTTAAAAGCATTACCTTTAATCATTACTAACTGTCTCCTTTTAAAAATTAAATATCATAAAAGCCCGCGGAGCAATAATCGCTTACTCCTCCAAATTACAAAGGTACGACTGCACAATGAAATCGACCATGTCACGTTGTTCGTATGTCAACACATAGTACGGGTGTCCTAAAATGGAAATGACAGGCGGTTGTCAATTCACAGCATGATTCATTCAAACGGGGTACAGGATATCTGATAGACACAGATCCACGTGCAACAAATATCCTATGCCAATTACCTTGGACCTACAGGCCAAATGGATGTGCAAATTGTATTTTATTGTCAACTCACGTGAGTGTCAACGTTGGATATTGTCTGTGACTGTCGATGTCATGTTTGATTGACATTCGTGTAAATCATGTTTCTATTTAACATGTAGATAACACACGTGAAGTGGTCTGTAGCAATTGGTCCCGATTCACACACTGCACGCCGATCCGGCGACATGAATGTATATCTAACTGAATCTCAATGAGGACAAGACTATTTTTTATACATATATTCTTAAAAATACCATTCACGCAAAATATCAGCTCGTCACCCGCAGGTAATAGTATTCTTTATGCAATGCGCAAACATTTTTTTTTTTTGGGGGGGGGGGGGGGGGTGAATGATGTTTTACACCGCTAGCAGCACTATCTGCGGCCGGTATATAGTCAATTCTTGGCCACACAAACCATTCAATGGCTTATAAAGCAACATCCCAATCATCATTGGTCATTGCGTTTGTGTTTTTTTTATATTATATGGTTGATATATGTTTGTCGTAAGAGACGGCTATCGGGATCGGGTGGTCACGCCAGCTGACTTGGTTGATGCATGTCACCGTATCCCAATTGCGTGGATCGATACTTATGATGTCAATCATTGGATTTTCTGGTCCAGACTCGATTATTTACAGACCGCCGTCATATAGCTGGAATATATATGGTGCGGCGTTAAACAATAAACAAACAAAACCCGATCGCCTCGAACGACAAGTAAAGGTAGTTGGAGACATATTCTAACCGGAAATTCCCCAAGGGTAATATATGTTGTGAGATATTCGGTGATGAGAACTGAGAAACTGTGACGTTTCTTTAGTTGTTATGTATACGTCTACAACGTGACATTCGCATAATGAGAACGTTCATACACGCACACAGAATTAAACGATTACATTTGACAATATAAATGTCTGATCACGACAAGACATGACAATTTCAAACATCGTGACGATGTAAATATTACAGTCGGAAATGATAATGGATTCCTTTGACCTTGACCTGGATCATGACCACATATCAGCTGTCAAGGTCACACTGAAAGTGACCACATATTACATCACGTGTCATGCCGAGTGCAACAGTGACACGCCATCTCCAATAGCACTTCAGTCACATCACAGCCAGGGAATCGAACCAGTTCTTCTCAATCATGACCGGGTACCCTACCCAGTGGGCTACCGCAGCGTATCGGTTTCAACATTACCTTGGCCGTTTCCGTGGTCTAGAGTAGAGCATAAAGATGTTACGAGATTAAACGATGGTCCCTTTTACCAAGCCTGGCCCTCGTCATTAGGAGGAAAAACAAATACTTGGCCCCTCGAAGTCAATATTATGTGTCTCACCGGGGTATCACGATCATGTCAAACTGCCGCATGATATCTGAGTGGGCTTAGCACAACACTAGACTTACATCTAGTCTCTGAAATGAACATAGTTATCAAATATAAACAGTTGTTATAATATAGTTATAAAGTATACTAGAAGGGGTCAAGAGACTTTTGTTTTCAGAAGTTACTGCAGTAATCTTGACTTGCTTGTCGTGATGTAGGCATGTACGTCGCTGTGTAAGTGAAAACATATTCGCAGAGTGTTTAGAATAACGCTTAAGTCTGTTGCTTGGCGTAGCAGGCGACTGACGGGATGGGGTGGTCTGGTTCGCTGACCTGGTTGAAGCGTGTCATCGATCCCAATTGCGTTGATCGATGCTCATGATATCAATCACTGGATTGTCTGGTCCAGACTCGATTATTTACAAACCGCCGTCCTATAGCTGGAATATTACTGAGTGCGTCGTAAAACAACAAACAAACAAACCAATCCCCCTTTATCAACATGGTTTGACCGGGGTATTGTTTTATTACTCTTCCTCAGCCTCAGTGTTTACATAGTCCTTTGTTATGACCTTGAACTTTTGAACCAATGACTAGTGTCATTCCTCAAAGAAACAACCTGAGTACTTATATTTTGCTTTATTATTCAACAGTTTTGGCCCTATCACATCAGAAAGGGATATTCCATGTAACGAGAAAAAAGAAAAATATAATTCTTAAAAAATAATTCTAATTCAATAAAAATGTCGAACAAATCGATTGTTTAATAGTAATTGGTAAAAGGGGCCCCTTTAATCATCCAGAATGAAATTTGCAATTTGTCGTTATCATTTCCCAACACTGCTGAAATATGTCTTGAGGCTAATATACATCCGAGTAAATATCCATATCCGCATCACAATACCAACGTCCATTTATTCAATCTTCTTTAAGTCCCCCAATCGTCCTGAGGAGTCATTGTGTGGCTTGCACATGACATTTTTTAACAAAGGCTAGTCATGGTCTCGAGGAGATATAATAATTGTTTCATCTTAAATGACATTTTTACGGTATACAATCTTAATAGGAATGTACCAGAGGCATTGCCCGGGGGGTGGTGCATCTGCGCGTCCTACTTGCTATTACCCCTCTTCAGTTGTTCGAATTTGATTTTTAACACGCCTTCTGATCGCGGCATTCTGCGCATGCGCCGACAATAAAGCGGGAGCTATGAATGACAATGAACGGGGACCGTCCTCGCCTGGAGGCACAGGCACGTTGTCCCCCTGTGTGCTATTATCAAGTTACCCCCAGGGGACGGGGTGGGGGTGGGGGGTCATGAGATTCGAGTGAAGAGGGGTGGGGTGGTGCAGTAAAACGGCACTAGGGTGTAATTACTGGTATTGTATATGAAGGAATTTGGCCCCATTTAGGTCAGTAATTCAAATTATCTCTGTGCGCACAAAGCAATGGCATGAGTCAGTTGCCTTTATTACCTCCATTTCTTATTGACCTGATTTGATTTGTATAATGCATGCTGAATTACACAACGTTTGCATGAGACAGTATTTACTAAATGTCACGTTCAAATTAATCCTTGACTATAATTACCAGCGAATTATGAAGTGTTTATATTCCTCCACATTCGTGAGATATCTGGGCATATGTTGATTCAAGCATAAAATTATGTCAAGTGTGCTAAATGAATATTATCTGCACAAGCAGCCTGATCTATAAAGTGGATTCAAATTTTTATTTCCCTTCACGAGAGTCATCTATCCACACATCTGATAAAGGCAAGCAGGCACTCTGCCGACGAGAATGTATCGTTACCGCGCATTACGTAGGAAATTCCTTGTGCGATGACTCGGCGTCCCGAGCGACCCCATCTTTCCCGCGCTTTTCCCATCTGACATTTCAATAGCAGGAAGTGTTTACACTGTGACAAGCGGCGCTCTTTCAAGGTTTGCCGAGGTCATTGCAACAGCTCAAGAGGGCATGACGAGCTGTTCTGCATCACTGACCGCTTTGCAGGTGAAAACAAAATACTTGCAGCCCTTGACGTAGCAAGACGCGTCTTTAGATCAGCGGAGTTAGCACGGCTGTTGAAACTGACAAGCGTGACAGCTCTTGTGAAATTGACATACATTTCTTACACCGGTTAAAGGTAGAGAAGTACAATAAACTTACGATGAGAACACATATCATGACAAGTTCTCACAAAGTATTGAGCTATCTACATCCTCCCGAGTGGCTATTTATAACCGAGATATCACTTTACCGAACCAGCTGGGCTGAAAATATCATCCGTTTTCACTGAGCTTTGAATGCTATCTTCATTTCCGATGCTTCTTGATGAACGAAGCCCCACACACACCGGTAATGCCAAATGCCGAGGCCGCCAGATGCCCCGAAATACAACCCCAAGCTCACATGCATCTGGCAATGGACGGCACGAAAAGAATCTACACCATCACTTGTGTTGCCCACACCAATCAAACATTTACGCAGAATGTTGTAAAACCCAGTAAGCTTACCATCCAGTATTACAAACGAGCATGGTGATACTAACATAGCATAACCCTGTTCGCCATCCCAGGTAAACAAGATACATATCTATGTGACGAGTACTTATCCACCATGCACGCCTGCATGATATGCACGTAACCATATATCTCAATAACGAAAGGAGTATGTGAATTTATCTATTAATGAAACTAAAACAAACTCATGTAATACAATTAATATATTTAATTCTTTCTTTTTTCTTTATTTTTGTACAATTTATACAAAATGATCATCTTGTGACATCAAAAATATGTTTCTCCAATGATATATGAATGACAAATAAAAACCCCAAATAGCACATATGAAACAATGCCACGAATTGTATAAAGAATATAAAATGATACGTCCCAAATGCTTGATAACACCACTAAATTGTGAATTATCATTATAAATGCGCATTTAAAAGAGCCAAAAAAATAACCAATTTGGAAGATACACTCTCTTTGCAAAATGCAATCAAACTCAAACGACATTGATTTCCACGTGGTCTTAACCATCTGTCAATCAATGTCAAAACAAAGTAAAGCGATTTCGTTGCAAACAGTCTTCAATAAATACGCAGAAAAACATAAGCCGTTAATATTTAATTGAAAAAACGAGCACTACTTTTTAAAACAATATTGGCTTCGGCGAAAATAAACGAACATATGCTTGAGTGAATTACGCCTTTGTCTTCGTAACCTGTCACCGAATGCGAGCGAGACCACGTGGTTTAGCGGTCACGTGACCTTCGCGTCAGCTGGGAGAGCCCCAACGCAGCCAGAAAGACCACGCGGTCTGGCCCGACCCAACTTTGCATTCAGTGACAATGAGAGACGATTTCTATTGACGGTTGAAAATGAATAGGTTACCTGTAAAATGCGACAGGTATTCACCTGTGTAGCCCCAGGGCTGATAAAGGATATTTGCACTCGGTACTAATGAAACGATGACAGTTTGATATATACGAATGTTTTGGAGAAAATGCACAAACGAACTGTTGTAAAAAAAATGACAACCCATTAGGGACATGTCTATCCCGATTGAAACTCAATCATATAAAAATACAGAAATGCTTTGGTTCAGCCATTGTTTGAAGTCACTGTTTGAGAAGACTTATAATGAATAATTATTACGAAACATAATTATTGCATGTATATTTGACCGTCCCGGCAGTCGTAAATGATTGGATTTTTAGTTTACCAAAAAAAAAAATCCCTCTATCCCTCCATACATCCACTTGACCGCAGTACCTCAAGGGAACCTGAACGAATATTGCCACAGTTCCTTAATACACCTCGCGTGTATTCCATACGCGGCGGGTCTTGCATAGAAATTCATCAAAAACTGTATGAACGTCAAAGTGCAGGTAATTTACAGTAAATGTACATGTGTCACACATTGTGTCCACAAATGGCAGTGTTAGCGAACTAGTTTATTTCGTCCCATCAAACCACGCCGCCGACATGTGCTCCCGGCTCACACATGTTGCTTGAATCTGACAGTTTGCACTCAGGGGAGAGAACTCGTCTCTTCCTCTTACTTAGTCTCTTTGTTACCTTCTAATTTCTCAAGTTGTCTCTGTTTCTCCAACTGACTGATGGCAACATCAACAAGCATGTAAAAACACCTGAATATGTCCTCTTTCCCCGCATTGCTTGGGGCAGGGGGAGAGGGGGGTGGGGTGTTGGCGGTATTGTCCCGTGGGTGAGGGTTAAAGTTCATATGAGGGGCACCTGATGTAGAAAGCCTTGATGTGGGCAATCTGTTCAGATTTTCATGATCCGAGTAATATTCACACGACGATGTTTCGCTGTCGGAAAGGTATCCATCCGTATCCATAGAAACAGGGTATGGGGAAAGATCGGAATCGCGACTGGATGCACTGTCTTCAGAATTGTCAAACTTTCTGTCACTCTCTGTCAGACAGAACTTTCGGTTGTCTTCCTCCTCAGAAAACGACTTTTCTTTATTTTTCCGTGTGATTGTGAACTGTAACGGGTCCATGCCATCCTTCTTTATCATCTCGGGTAAAATCCGCCGTCTGGCATTAATAAACCAGTTGCACACCTGTAACACTGTCAGATTAGCAGCATTTGACAAGTACACCTTTTCCTGATCTGTTGGGTAAGCGTTGTACCTGTGTTCGTACAACCAACCTTTGAGAATACGCACTGACTCTTTCGGTAAATTCCCTCTTCGTTTCTTGGCGGAAGACTCGTAACCCATGTTCGAGTCTTCTCTTTTCCCATCTCCCGAGTCGTAATCGTCACTTAGCCAACTCTTTGAGTTCTTTTCTCGAACTAAAAATTTAAAAATATATCGTAAATAAAACTTTCACATGAATTCATGTACATGAAGCTATAGACTTGTAAACTGCTTCACTTACCTTCCATGTGTACACTTCAACCTCGTTGACATTTGAAAGAAATTGCAAACATATTGTCTACAAAAGGTTTGGAGAATTTGAAAATATACTGATATAAATTTAGCCAGATTTACATAGAGACGGATCCAAGTTCACTGTCAAACAGACAAACACATCGGTTTGGACAGTAAACTTGCCCCGCTTATGTTTGAACACAGCTAGGCGTGCCTGACATAAACTGGATCCGACTGTCACTTCTAGCTGTCAAGTGCTGTCAACATGTCCGGCGCTAGTCACACACATCAAATCAGCTAAAAAGTCAGTTCAAATATTCAAAATATTTACCCTCAGCTAAAGTTGAACAGGTAAGCTCATTTTAATCAGCGCTTAAGCCCAGAAATTACACAAAGGCTTGCGACACGCCGCTAACATTGAAGCCCCAAGACCACGTGCGCCATGACAAGCGAGCCTCGCTACTCGCTCAACAATTTGACATTTGTCGATATTCGCTTCAAAAACAACGGCAGTAGAACCACTTACCTCGCTTGGAGCGCATTTTGTCCATATGGACGCTTTGGAATCCGAAATCCAGCTTGCCGGTTTAGTTTAAACCACTTTTGCAACTGTCAAAGTCTCACAACAAGCAGTACGCTCTTCCTCGTTGAAACCACGCGGAGTTCTGGCATGCTATGAGAGTAGAGCATTTTTTGTTTGACAGCTATAGGCCACGTGGCTCATTAGCATCTCGTCGCTGATTGGTCAATGTCACCGGGACAAAGGTCAGGCAACGACGCCAGCTGATGTTTCTCGTTGTTTGACACTGATATGACACTGTAAAACTACAGATATTCTCCCGAAAACCTTCCTCGTATCTCCACACAAGCTATAAATGAATAAAATGGCAAAATCAACCTGTCCTTTAGCCAAACATTGCCGGCTAAAAGTTTCGCGCTATAATGGTCACGTGACAACACAAAGCGCTGTCAGGTTGCTGTCATAATACGGCAAACTGTCAAAGTTTCCGTGTGGTTGCTTGTTAGAAAACTAACTGAATTTATGATTGAGTTTTGGCTAATAACGCATATTCGATTCGTGTGTCAGCGAATATATCTTAGCCGATACCACTGATAGTAATTTGAAGTTGCCAGCGCGTCTTTGTTTATTCCGCTAATGACAGCCCGAGTGGTATATAAATAGGTATATGACATATATAGTTATTTATAGTAAATTATGTAGCCATAACAAAGATACAAATTACCTTGTTATTTCGTTGCGTTTTCTCATTTTCTTGGGCAAATTTAAACAACGTGTTGCACCTATTTCGTATGGCTATCAGAAGCAATATGATTAAAATCGATAAAATGTCGTTTTTACGAGGTAACATTAATTCACGGCACATTGAAACACATGGCGGTACCATCAACTGGTGCAACAGGCGGAGCTATAGCCATTGGACGGATGGACGACACTAAGCTTTTGTCCTGGGCGGGGAAATCATTTCGGGGGGGATGCACAACGGTGACAGCTTTTGTTTTCCGGCCGAGGAAAGCCGTTGTATTCACACCATGGTAAAATATCCTTTGTTTCTTCGTGTTTTAATCTCCTTTCTTATGCAGGCCCACTTTTTTGGTGTTTTAACAATTTGTTTGTAAAGGTACTTAGCCGTATTCCGCGCGTCGAAATAACTGCTGCTCATGCATCAAGTCTGATTTAAGCTGTTTCTGGGGTGACTGTCACGTACCTCTTAGATCTTCATGTTTATCATATACACATCTTTGCTAAACGGTGTGGTGTCTCTTAACTGGGATTGTGTATATGACATAATGCACAGATATAAAAAGCTTTATCTTTTCAACACACACACACACACACACACACACACACACACACACACACACACCCGTTGGATCGACCTAATAAGACAAACGCCCAGAATATATTTCTGAACTTCATACTCTCATTAATGACATAACTTTATACTCTCAATGTTATGTACACAGCATGTTGAGGATTTACAGGTCAGAGCTATAATGGCGACCAAAATATTTATTTAAAAGTATCCATAATTATTTTACAATATTTGGCTAGTTTCTTCCTTGAGATATGATTATTATAAGGCTGGATAAGATGACACATAGATGGATGGTCAGTAACGTTAAACGATATGTACAGTTATCTGATGGAATTAAAATATTTAATTTTAAATTTAAAATGAATTTCGTCAGCAATGTGCATTTCCTATCCACCGAGAGTGTATTGTTGTGTTCCATCATCCACATTAGAGTGAGTATGGTTTTACGCCGCTTTTAGCAATATTCCAGCAATATCACGGCGGGGGGTACCAGAAATGGGCTGCACACATTGTACCCAAGTCGGGAATCGAACCCGAGTCTCCGGCGTGACAAGCGAACGCTTTAACCACTAGACTACCCGGCCGCCCCTCCACAATAAATGTTGTAAACAATATATACAAAGATATGGACAGTTGTTTTGGGTAAGTCAACTGAATATGTTTGCTATGCAATGCTACCCTATACGACTTCATAGCATCTCGCTACACTAAGTGCTCTTACAATCAGTTCTACATTGTCCTACATGTAAATATTTATCCAGACAACGAGGATCAATGTTTATCGGTGTTGTGTACAAATACATTCGCATGTCAATGTTGACATTCGATTGGCAGTTCTGTTGACCTGTAGATGTATTGACAATCATATACAGGCGTCGTAAACGCAGATAAAAGGTGAATATATAGGTGAATACAAATATCACGGCGATACTATGCAGTGGTAGACTTGATATATCATTTGTTGTTGTGACTTATTTGTTGACAAACATTGTAGATTTCACGTAAACACAATTTGTTACTGATGCAGGCAGGTATATAAGTGTATGTGTAAGTTGCATTTTCGGGTATTTTGTATAATAGCCACATGTTGCCTTTTGAAGAGTAATACCGGGAGCTACACACATGTTGCGATGTCAATACCCGAGGCTTAATGCCAGCTGTTGCAGTCACACTTATTGGGGGTGGGGGTGAGGGAGGGGGCGTCGTGTTGCCGATGATATCGGACAGTACAATTTCATTTCCAACTGGTGGCAGCGGATCAACAATGTTCCCTGAAATTAGAACTTGATCACCTGTAGGCCTCTCGCCACGTGGTGCAGATATTGTTTCGGTATATGGCGACCGAAGTACCTTTACACTCATGTTATCTGTGTGTGTGTGTGTGTGTGTGTGCGTGTGTGTGTGTGTGTGTGTGTGTGTGTGTGTGTGGCTGCTTGTACTAGTCCGGACTGATGCTGATATATAGTGCTAGCCCACTGAGATACCATGCCGCAGTTTAACATAAATACCCCACTCAGACACAGTATACTGACTCCGAGCCGACCAGTCCTTGTTTTAGCCCCTTAATGCCGAGCGACAGACAGGGTAACAACAAGTACCATCTTTTAACGTCTTTTGGTATGACGAACACCGGACCTTCTGCTCTCCAGGCGGACGCTCTACCACTAGACCACGGAGGCGGTCCGATAAATCAGACTTTCAATACTAAAAATACCGGATACACAACGAAGTAGTATATACTTGTAGATATTCCGAATAGTCTATTTATACCTCCAGTGTGCTGAAGTATTTATCGTTAGTGCATGCATTACTAATACCAGTCGGCTTTTAAAGCGCATAGTTCAAACGCAATGTATCCTCGCAGCGCTACGTTATCTTTATCCTCAGTCATGCAGTAGATCAGTGTGCACTTGATTTTTATTCACAGCACCCTCGGGAGTATACAACCCAAGCTGTGAGGCGCTAGAAGGTTAACAGTCACGTTATCATCACTTTCTACCGGGTACCCATACACAACTGGGTGAACAGAGGCTTATTTGGAACAAAGTCCACACTTGCCCAGATGTGTTTTAGTGTGCCAATTAAGCTGTCGAACTGTCACCCATCCCAGGACTCTCCGCGACCAACGTTGCTTATCTTCCCCTGATTTCTGACCTGTGCACAGCACCACGTGCCACCATGCACGCTATAGTATATAACGAACTTCTGATATAACACGAGACTTGTCCCTCACATTCGTTCAGTTGAATGTGATTAAGTTAAAACAACAACTACGATGAGTGATGTAGTAAGTAAGTGAGTGAGTATGGTTTTACGCCGCTTTTAGCAACATTCCAGCAATATCACGGCGGGGGACACCAGAAATAGGCTTCACACATTGTACCAATGTCGGGAATCGAACCCGGGTTTTCGGCGTGACGAGCTTTAACCACTAGGCTACCCGACCGCCCCATTTATACAGTAGGGTTTAGCAGTTTTATATACCAGTTATAGCATGTGCCGCGTTCAGTTTCTCAGATCATACGCGTTCAGTACCTCAGATCATACAGACGTTTTCTATTTTGGTGAGACATACGAATATGGATATGCTGCCGACATGGGTCCTAATCTTGGCGCATCTGGGAATCGAACCATCGATCAGCAAATCCCGGCACATCTTAGTGACACAACGCCGCGAATTCCAGAGACCAATGGGCTACCTGTTTCCGTTTTCCAAGAACGACGGTGGTGTTTGGGGGGATTGCATTTGTACATATAATGAATATAAACAATTGTTCTGTTTACATATGGACAGCTGCACTAATTTCGAAGATGTCACCTGGCACGCCATGTGTTATTTATATACATTTCAGTAGAATTTTGATTTGACTGTCATATATTTTAATTTTAAAGTTTCGAATGTATTTGAACCCATCACCATTAAATTCTAAATCCGAAGGTGTAAAGAAATGAGAAGTTTGGACTTAGGTGCTCATAAAATATCACAATGATAAACAAAAGCATGATCACAGTTACTTGTGCCCGGGGACATTCGACGTGTTTATTGACAAACAGCGCGAGCTGTAATTGCTTCCCTATCACTCGGCACAGCATGTGTACATGCTCTCCACAAGTGACATTTGTTTACATATCTATATGGATTAGCCCTACACCATGACTGTTGAATATATTTTATGAAAAACAACAACAATCTAGACATGTATACAAAAGCAAATCTAGCCAGCTCTAGCTGGCTCTTACTGGCTCTAGCTGGCTCTATTCCACATGAACAGATATGAAATCAGCATCAGGATAAATATTTGTTTTAATTTTAGAGAGAAGTGTATTATGTAATATAATATTTCATAGACTATATGTTAGTCTACTGTATGGACGCAAAAGGCATTGTTTCATTCTATCTCAGGGTAAACACGTACATTATCCTCAGGAGGTAACGTTTCCTAGAATCCTATATTATATCATTTTCTTAGAAGCGAAAGTAGACTTCCACACGTGACTCATGCGTATCCCACGATGTGGGAGGTTGTGGTCCGGGGTGATGGAGAGAAAGAGCTGGACCGGTTTCCGCTTTCAGGTTATCTTGGGGTACATATGGGATAATTCCAAATAATTATTTCTTAATATTCATTGCACTTTCTTTTCATTTCCTTAATTTCCACACCCCAAACACTGCGTCATGAATACATATAACAATGGCGATGGTGTTACATTACTCTTCCTTATTCATCATCAAGACATGAAGACGGGGCGTGATCAATCCACCCGCCTCTCTCCAAACCGACTCTTTATGAACCATCACCCTTTATAAACCGACCACGTATTCAAATAAGGTCTCTAAACCGCTCCTCTGA